TAGTCTTGCTCACTCAGTGTTCCAGCGCCTCAAGCCAGAAAAAGTAGATATTCTGGTCTCGTCTTGGCCAAAAAAAATATAATTTATATTAATTTATAGAAGATAATTGCATTTAAATCCATATTGCAATATTGGTCAGAAAAATTGCAATTAGATATTTTCCCCAAATCGTTCAGCTCTCGCTACAGCTTGCATATACTACGATTCAAGATTTTTGTTTTTTTTTAGAAATTATCAGACAACAGAATCCTAAAGGTTAGAGTTACAATGACATGGAGCAGAGAGAAGAGGCAAATCAGTCATCAAAAGTCAGTAACTTCCAGTTGATCAGCTAATTCAGATATTAATACTACAATTACAGATGATAACAGTAACAACATCATGATTTCAGATTTTTTGCATTTTACATTACAGTGGTATGGATGCTAAATTGACTTGAATGTGCATAGGATGTGTCAGGTTACAGGCTAAAACAGAGAAGTGTTTGATTTTCTTTTTTCACAGGTGAGACAGAAGTCACTGCTTTAATGGTAGCTAACAAGATCATTGAGAGATCCCACAGTGTCCAAAGCCTGGAATTATCTTCCTTATGGATGCCTCCTCAGATGACTCATCTTTCTCTGAGTTCTTTAAACTGTTATGTAGTGACGGTTAAGGGTGAGTGGACTGAGACTGAAGAAAACAAAAGTGCACAGTGAGAATGAACAGTGACATGTCATTCTATGAGATATTTGGTGTGAGCATGAAGTCCCAATCCTTAAACTACAAACCCTATTTCCAGAAAGTTGGGAGATTTTGTAAAATGCGATAAAACAAGAATCTGTGATTTGTTAATTCTCTTGAGTCTATATTTACTGACAAAAGTGTAAAGAAAAGATTTCCAATGTTTTCACTGACCAACTTATTTAAAATAATTTTAGAATGTGATGCCTGCAACACACTCAAAAAAAGATGGGACAGAGGCATGTTTACCATTCTGTTACATTGTCTTTCCTCTTTATAACACTTTTTGATTGTTTGGGACATGAAGATACTAATTGTTACAGTTTTGTAAGTGGAATTTTTGCCCATTCATGCTTAGAACTTAGTCTGTGGTTGTTGTTGTCTGATTCTGCTCTTCATGATGTGCCATACATGTTCAATAGGAGACAGATCTGGACTGCAGGCAGGCCTGTAAGGCTCACACACTCTGTGTCTATAAAGCCATACACAGAGGCAGAATCAGGCCTGGCACCGTCTTGGTGAAATAACCATGGACTTCCAGGGAATAGACGTTGTCTTGATGCTTATGTCTCTTTAAAATCCTAATAAATGTGTCAGTGGTACCTTTCACACATATTCAAGTCACCGATGCCATGGGCACTGATGCCCCCATACCATGACAGATGTTGCGATTCTCACCATTCACTAACAGAAGTCTGGATGGTCCCTCTCATCTTTGGCATGGAGAATTCAACATCCATTTGTCCCCAAAACAAGCTGGAACGTGGACCCATCTGACCACAGCACACATTTCCACTGTCTTTCAGACCATCTGAGATGACCTCGGACCCAGAGAACTCACCAATGTTTCTGCATAGAACTGATGTACAGCTTTCTCCTTCACAATAGAGTTTTAAAGATGCATTTCTTGATGTAGCAGCGGACTCTTACAACGGTTTTCCAAAGTACTCTTAAAGTACTCCCTCCCTTCTCGTGCAGTGCCGTCTGAGGGCTTAAAGATCACACACATTGAGCAGTGGTTTCTCAGCTTTTTTTGAGTGTGTTTCAGGCATCAAATTCATAATGTATTTATGTTCACAAATACAAATAAGTTGGTCAACCAAAACATTAAAAATAATTTCTTTGTACTTTTGTCAGTTAAATAAAAGTTTAAGAAAATTAACAAATCACAGATTCTTGTTTGTATTGCGTTTTACAAAATGTCCCAATTTTTTCTGGGTTTATATTGTCAGCACACTTTCCATCTTTCTGTCATTGTTGAAAATGCCCTTAACAACTGTGTGTAGGCCCCTTTTAAGGACTGTCATAACTGTTGCAGTGCTAGGTTCTGTTATTGACACGTGTGCTTTGTATTAGCCAAAAGTCCTCATTCTAGAGGCATATTCAGTGTAGCTAAGTCCTGAGTGTAGTGTGGTTGCTTAGTTTTTCAGGTTGCTGGTTTTGTTCTGAGCATGTGTAAATGAAATCAAGAAACTTTTTTCTCATGCAGTTCCAATCTGAATCTCTTAACAAGTGCATGCTGTTACAGTCCAAACTACAGATAAATCAAGAATGATACAAGAGGTAATTAGTCCTCTAATTCACATTATTGTTTATGTTTTAGACAAACATAATAAATCTTTAAAACTGTAGAAAGATTCACAGTAGCTATCTTTTTGCTGCCATTTGGTGTTTATCTTGAATGCTAGGTTGCTGGGTGATGTCATGATTGTTAAAGTTCAGCTGTCAAAATAAAAAGATGTAAAAAAGGTTTTACATTGTGTATTGGTTACAATAGTGTATTGGTTGTTGTGTATTTATGTAAAATTAAAGCACATTAAATTAAAGCATGTGTAAGGGGAGGGCAGGAGGAGGAGTACAAGACCCTGGTGAAGGACTTTGTGGAGTGGTGCCATAGGAACAACCTGCTTCTGAACACTGCCAAGACCAAGGAGATGTTGGTGGACTTTCCCAGGGATAGGCCACTCACACAGCCAACCTCTATTGAGGGGGTTGAAGTGGAGAGGGTTATGACAGGTATCTCGGTCTGCAACTGGATGATAGGTTGGACTGGTCAGCCAACACAGACATCCTGTACAGGAAGGGGCAAAGCCAACTCTATTTTCTGAGGAGGCTGAGGTCCTTCAATATCTGTAGGAAGCTCCTGCAGATGTTTTATCAGACCATGGTTGCCAGCTGTCTTTTTTATGCTGTGGTGTGTTCGGGCGGAAGCATGAAAAAGAGAGATGAGATGCGACTGGACAAGCTAATCAGGCGAGCGAGGGTCAGTGGTCGGTGTGGAACTGGACTCTGTGGTCAAGGTGGCTGAGAGAAGGACACTGCACAAACTGCTCTCCATTATGTAGGATGATGGCCACCCACTGCTACACCATTATCATGGAGTGGAGGAGCATGGTAAGTGGCAGGTTGCTGTCACAGAGCTGCTCAACTGACAGATTAAGGAGATCCTTTGTCCTTTGGACACGTTACTGCACATTTTGCACCAGCGAGCTGGACTCCATCACAGGAAACTTTAAAGCTTTGCTCAATGTTGTCACATGAATTTTGGTTTCAGTTAGGTTTAAATATGATTTTGGAATGTTTTATTATTCTTTTACTTCTTAGCTGTAAGTTATTGCTTTACATCTACTACTATTCCTTTATCTGTTTGCATTAATTTTGATTTATTTTTTCCTATTTGATCTATTTGACCTATTTGATATATTGATGCAATTTTTGTTTATTCTGACTTGATTGAGTTTTGCTATTAAATTTACTATTATAATTATTACTTTTTTATTCATTTAAAGCCTTTGGAATTTTTTGAATACTGCAGTCTTTCTTGTATTAGTAATGTTAACTAATGACTCACGTTACCAAATTGAGACTTTTGATAACCTACTGAATTAAATGTTTTAAGAATATTTTTAACAAAAAACCCTGAATAACAGGGTTGAAGTGAGTGATATATTTGACACAGAGATGATATTCCCTCATTAAGTTTACATTAATGAAGTAAGAAGCCATTTTAAATTTCATTTCATTTAAAAAGTAACTGAAGGTTAAAAAATGGGATAACAGGGTTGCAAGTAACAGGTAACAGCCTAAAATAAGGTAGTACTCAGGAGTGGTTAGCTGGACAGGGTGCACATGTTGCATGCTAACTACTAATAACTATATAGTTTGTCCAAAAACATTTGGCTACAGAGTGTATCCTGACTGTGGTGAATGGTCGTGATGTGAGAGTAGTGTCCAAAAACTTTTGGCTACAGAGTGTATCCTGACTGTGGTGTATGATCATGATGCAGGAGCAGTGTCCAAAAACTTTTGGCTATCCTAGGAGTGGATCCTGACTGTGGTGTATGATCATGATGTAGGAGCAGTGTCCAAAAACGTCTGGGTATCCTAGGAGTGGATCCTGACTGTGGTGTATGATCATGATGTAGGAGCAGTGTCCAAAAACTTTTGGCTATCCTAGGAGTGGATCCTGACTGTGGTGTATGATCATGATGTAAGAGCAGTGTCCAAAAACTTTTGGCTATCCTAGGAGTGAATCCTGAGGCATTAGGCTCAGACAGTGTATACACAGTGTGAAAAAGTTTCAGTCCCCTGAGAACAGATTTGGACCAACAGTGTGAAAAAAGCACAAGAACACTATTCAGTTTCCACAGTTCTGACAGGTTTGATGGTTCGAGGTTAAAAACTGTAGAAGGAGAAACACTGACAGCTTTTAAAGGGGAGTTATAGTTTTCTACTTAATAGTAAGAGGAAAATAAAGAACAGTCAGTTGGCTTTTCCAAGATAACTTAATGCGAGCATTGCCTCATGGTCATTCCGCAGAAAACAAGATGACGTAATTCCTGGATGTATCATAATATAGGAATGTTCTATGTTTTTTACAAAGGGGGAACAGGTTTGGGTAACGGGGTTCCACAGAAAATGTGGGACAAAGTTAAAATGATTCTAACAAAGTTAAAATGATTCTAGTAACATTACTTTGCTTGGAACTGAACTGAATAACCAGTATTTATGGTGTTACTGTAAGATTTTAATGAATATATTTCATAGAGTTGTTTAGTGCTCAACATCACCATAGTAAAGGTGGATAGAGACATTTTAGGTGCTTCTGTGATCAATTAAAAGCTAATTTTAATATTTTTATTTGAAGAAAGTACAGATTCCTTCACTTTACAAAAACAACAATAAAAACAAAAACAACAGTCACTTCATTGCTTTTAAAAAGGTAATGGGACAGAAACCGGAAGTGGAAAGTGTCAATCCAAATGAATATACTGCACCTGAGTTCTCAGATTCCTTGGTGCTTCTGGTCGTGTGAGTCTTCAAGTTCTTCTCATTTACAGAAATGTATTCGCATGAAATGTCACCATCAGTAGGTTTGCTGTCTGCAGTAATCCTTGAATTTGCATCTGTGTTCTCCCTCATCTCCATCCTGCTCTCTGTCTGCGACTGACTAGTGAAGCTCACAGATGTGATTCACAAAGACCTGCAGAGACCCTCCCTCAGAGGGATCAGGGAGACCAGAGGCTCTGACTGGGTAAATTGGAGTAACCGGAGGAAATGCCTGTGGACACTGAACTAACTGCTGGGCTTCTTCATACCTAATCAGCTTTACTGATAGCATTTTTATTGTTTTACTCCGGAAAAATGAGCAGAACAGCCAGATAAAAGTAGCACACATTCAAATAACTGGCAAGCCAGGAAAAAACCAAACTGTGCTCTTTCTCCATTTATTTACTCTCTGTTTCACAATCTTTGTACAATAAAAGGCATGTTCATGTTCCACAACAGCTTGTAGCAGAAAAGTGAAGGAGAGCTGGACATTTAATGTAGTTATGTTAGAACTGAAGTTTGGGGGGGGACCATGGCTGAAACCCCTCCTTCTTCCAATCTAACACCCTATACATTCACATCCCCACCTTCCGTTCCTGTGAGGAAGTGTTTGCAATCCCCACCGGCACCCCATCTCCTCCCTGTTCTTCAGTCCTGCATCAGTCCTACTACAGCTATGAGGGCGGGGGGTCTGGCCTTCTAGCTACAGGCAGAAGCTGCCAAAAACTCCAGCCCAAGTTCTCAGAATTCTCCCCCTCCCTCAATCAGTCTTCACTTACACCACCACATATTGAAGTCATGGACTGAGCTCTCAAAAACAGTCTGTAATTAGAGTCGGAGGCTGTGGGTCATCAAGGGGATATTACACACACAACCTGTTGGTAACTTAAATTTACAGCAAAAGCTTAATAATTACTTAAATCTAACGCCTAACACTGAGTACTTTTACAGTAGCCTGTTAGCTACCTAGAACTTCCATAGCAGACCAAATAGTGCCACACAGCACAGACTTGATTCCAACTTACTGGTGCTCTGCAGACACACAATAACAACTCATGTCTGAGAGAGCAAAATCAAGTGACTGTTGTTGGAGTGACAGAAAGCTGATATTAAGTGTTCTTTGGTGTGTGTAGCCGTCACTGAGGTGTTTCCTGGCCCTGATCTTTCTCCTTTCTATCAGGCTCTGTCACCACCAATCAGAAACAGCTGACGCTGTCATAATTCTGAAAGTACATCATCATTTTGAAATACCATGGTACATCTTATTACTGTCCAACACTAGAATAATATTAAATACTGATAGATTACTTAGTGCTGGAGGCTTCAGCTTTAAATGTGATTCCAGCTTTTTTCTGACAAGGAAAATGAACGTCTTGTACTGAAAATTACATAAATGAAAAGGTGATTTTTGGCTTTTCAATATTACTTTACATGGAAATATTATGGAGTTATGTTCTTCACTCTCAGTAGTGGAGGATTATAGCACTGTACAATTGGTTGGTTTAGTCCAGCAGATAATTACATAATGAGTGGAATCAGTTTTGAAAGCATTTAACTGGGAGTGTAGTATATATTCATTCGTGTGTTAAGCTCTATTTACTTGTGGTTATCACACTTTATTTCACACATTCTGAAGTGCTAATCCTGTTAATCTCAGTATTTTTTTAACACAATGGACTCTCTGATCCTCTCTTCCAGGTTATGGGGACATGTGGAACCCAGCAGTTACGCAGGAGATGAGGACAGTGTCGTAACTGGCCATGGGTCTGATCCTGTAAATAACTGGGCTGATTATGCCTGTAAGGTTTAGTTAATTGGGATTCATGAGGTTAGTTTTTAACTGACAGTGTATTAAAATGAATGGCAGCAAATACCTGGAATTTCAGCAGTTTGTTTGGATCTGTAAGAGAATATTTCACTGAATGGTCACCAGCATGTGAGTGAATAATATTAACAAATGACCAAGATGGCGGCGCGGTGACACACGCAGCGGCCTCTCCGGGTCCGACTAATGGTGCTATTTCTGTTTTATTAGTTTAAGTTTCATTTTCTTTCCGACGCAAGTACATGGAAATCACCGGAACTTTTGTTTACCACCACCAGACCCTGCTATAGATAAGGAAACAGACAGAAACCAACGTTGAAGATGACCTGCTGCAGAAGCTACATGAGCTCAGTTTGCTAAGTTTGCTGCTGTTCAATTTGCTCACTCACGACTGTGTGGTGATTCACAGTTCCAACCACATTATAAAGTTTGCTGATGACAATACTGTGGTTGGTCTCATCAGCAAGAACGATGAATCAGCATACAGAGAGGAGGTGCAGCGACTGACAGACTGGTGTAAAGTCAAAAACCTACTTCTGAATGTGGACAAAACAAAGGAGATGGTTGTTGACTTCAGGAGAGCACAGAGTGACCACTCTCCGCTCACCATCAACAACTCCCCTGTGGAGATCGTATTGAGCACCAAGTTCCTTGGTCTTCATCTAGCATAAATCATATCTTTGTTTATGCCAGACATTTAATTCATATTTATAAGTACAAATTCACAAGACAATAAGTGTGTACATTGTTTCCACTCACTGTTACTCTTTTCAGGATACTACAGACTGACTGCAGTGTGTCTGGGGCTGCTGTGTGTTCTCCTGCTGGCTGCCATTACATTGCTGTGGATCAAGTTCACTGCAGAGAGAGACCAGTTACAGACCAACCTGACTGCAGAGAGAGACCAGTTACGGACGAGTTACACCAACCTGACTGCAGAGAGAGACCAGTTACAGACCAGATTTTTGGATGTAACAAATTAAAGAAATCAACTGAAGACTAATTACACCACTGTGATGCATCAGCTTCAGAATCAGAAACACTGTCTTCAGAAGTTCTGTAATTTGGGTGAGCAGATCATCTCTAAGGTTTGTTACCTTCTTTTGGAAAAACTAAGTTACATGGAAACGTTAGGCAAGCAATACATATGATTACCATGTTTGAAATGGCCATTAAATACAAATGTAAAAATGTTGTAAGCGACAAAAGCATTTACATCACTTTTGCACCATCTCATCCTCTGTTATTTCAAAACGTAAAAAAATCAAAAAGTTTATTACAGTCACAAAAACATGAACAGAGTGCATCATTTCCATTCTGCAACAAGTTAGTCTTCTGGAGAGCTGGAGCGTTGATTGGTGGATCGTGGAAGTTTATGGGTCATGTGATCTCCCAGACAGTTCTGGGAAATGGAGTTGTTATGGACGTCAAAGCCAGGAGGATGTGTGATGGTAACTCCCCCATAGAGTATGGGATAGCTGAGGAACGAGGCTGACAGCGACTGCCTCCCACACGACTAGAGGTTTGATGTGATGTATGCCCACAGCTGCCGTGGAACTGGCCCGAAGGGGCACTCCCACTTCGACAACCTAGGCACGAACTGCAGAAAACCCTCCGCGGGTGACCCCTGGGACGAGGAGCGGGCCTATCCGGGTGGTGGCTGTGAAAGTCAGCGATGAGTCCAGGGTCCAGGATATAACCAGCAGGTACCCAGCACTGCTCCTCATGGTCATATCCCTCCCCAGTCGACCAGGTACTGTAGTTGGCCTCCCGTCTTCTGGAGTCCAGCAGCTGATGTACAGCGTAGACTGGGGTCCCAGTCAATCTTCTCTGGAGGAGGGGCCACATCAGCAGATGAAGCCTCGTCCAACAGACATGGGACAACAGGTTCGAGCAGGGAAAAATGGAAAGAGTGAGATGATAGAATGCAGGTCTAGTTCATAAGTAAGTCATTGACTTTTTTTAAGTATCTTGAATAGACCAGTGTATTTAGGATTTAGCTTTTTACTTCCTCAGCAAACCTGAAGTCCCTATTCGACAACCAAACCTGGTCTCCAGGTTGATAGGAAGGGCTGTCACCACAGTTGAGATCCGCTTGCTTTTTGTTCCTTCAAAGCACAGCTTCAATCCTCTGATGCGTCCTCTCCCAGATGCCATCACTGCGCCGCATCCACTCCTCCACCGCAGGCACGAAGTCCACGAAGCTACAGGAGGTTGAAATCCTTAAACACACTGTAATGGGGTGATACCAGTAGCGGAAATTATCAGAGAGTATTGTGCTGTTTCTGCCCAGACTAAATAACGGGACCAGTCATTGGGGTTGTTATGGCAGAAAATCCGCAGGAAATGTTAAAAGAATGCAGACCAGACTTGGGATGTGAACTGAGGTCCACTATCAGAGAGAATGCCTTCTGGAATACCGAAATTTCTGAATACCTGGTGGAACAAAGTTTCAGGAGTCTGAACTGCGGTAGGCGCCGAAGCAAAGGGGATGAATCTAACACTGCCTGAAAATCTGTCTATTACAGTGAGTGCAGTAGTGAACCCTTGTGATTCTGGAAGGTCTGTGACATAGTCACGTGCAATGTGGGACCTATTCTGGGGTGTGTGGCTCTGTAGCATGTTAGCTAATCTAACATTAGCTTAGTTAGCAGGCCAAAAAGTGCTACACACCACAGTACAGATAACGGCTTGAAATTAAATGTTATATTTATCCAAATAAATGTTATATTACTAATACAGGTGGTTTTAGTCTCAATTTCTACATTTTATAGATGTTAATGTATCGCTATAAGTATCAGCATCAGCAGATGTACATAAACATTATCAGACAGTCATCATATCACTTCTGATATCAGTGTATCCCAACATGCAAAACAAATCACCAGTACAGTAATCCCTTTTTAATGTGAGGAATAATTACCAAGGACCCAATTACACTGACTCCTCTGTGAAGAAGAATAAGTCTGGTATTAAAGTGTACAATGAGTCTCTGCTTTTGTGTTTGTGTGTTCAATTCATAGAGAAGGCAAAGCAGCAGGGTTGGATGTTTTTTGAGACCAGTATGTACTTGATCTCTACTGGAGAGAAGAGCTGGAGTGAGAGAAGACAGGACTGCAGAGAGAGAGGAGCAGACCTGGTGATCATAAACAGCAGAGAAGAACAGGTGAGAGAGAGAGAGAGAGAGACAGAGAGAGAGAGAGAGAGAGTCATTTGGGGAAAGGATGGTGATTTTTTGTCAGATGACATAAGCACCAAGTATTCAGTAAGTTACTTTTCCTCTCAGTTACTGAGAATGTTCATCCGGTTGTTAACAGAACTTTACAGAAAT